AAGCATGCTTTCTATTTCTTTGGCATGGAAATTAAGACAGTGTTTTATTATAGACTGTACAACAGGTTCTCTCATATTAGGTCAGTGGTCGGCAACCTCATTAGTCAGCAGAGCCAAATATCAACAGTACAACGATTGAAATTTTCTTTTGAGAGCCAAATTTTTTAAACTTAAACTATATAGGTAGGCACATTGTTATTAACTTAATTAGGGTGCTCCTAAGCTGGCCTTTGCTAAAAACGTCCTCAATCTGAGGGGTCGATCTCAGCGAACGTACCCCCACTTCTTCTAACGCCACTTTTTCAAAATAGACTCGCCCAGGCCAAAAACCAACTTCTGCGCATGGGCCACGAAGTTTCAATCGCACTGTACGTGCGCGCCCGCACATGGTATTTTGTGTAAGAGCCACACTCAAGGGGCCAAAGAGCCTCATGTGGCTCGCGAGCCGCAGTTTGCTGACCACTGTCTTAGGTTATTATATTAACACATTGAAATAGGAGACCCAACAGTTAGTCTTTCTGATGATTACCAGTATCTTTCCACGTGGTTTTCCCTGGAACTGGAGAAAACTATGGAATTAGGAGAAAGCATCTCTATTCTGGAATGTAAAATTAAAATAGATTCCCAATAATGTGTGTTAAACTCTGGCAGGTTTGATGACTTCTGATCTAGCTCACTTTTTGTTTTCTTTTTCCACACAGATTGATAGAGCTACATTCTCCCGATAGCAGGAACACATTGATCCTACGCTGCAAGGATACAGCCACCGCACACTCCTGGTTCGTAGCTATCCACACCAACATTATGGCTCTCCTCCCACAGGTGTTGGCTGAACTCAATGCCATGCTTGGTGCAACCAGTACAGCAGGAGGCAGCAAGGAGGTCAAGCATATTGCCTGGCTGGCAGAACAGGTAGGCTGGGCGACAGGGCAGGGTTGCCATTCATAGCCAGGATGGTTCCCCCATTTCATATGTATCACGCAGTCATGTCTGGACATCTGGATTGCAGAGCTTTGTTTATCCTCCCTACCATTTAGCTATTTATTGCTAATTATCACCACCACCAGAAGAACTGACCGTCATGAGAATCATCATCACAACAAACTAAAAAGAGGCTCTTATTTATCACCTCTGTTCTTAATGACAGAACATACTTTTCATGATTTTAGAACAGGATCAGCAAACTGTTTCTGTAAAGGGCTAGATAGTGTCACAACTACTTGCCATTGTAGCAATAAAACAGTCATAGACAGTATGAAAATGAATAGGTGTGGCTGTGTTTCCATAAAACTTTATTTACAAAAACAAGTAGTGGGCTGCATTTGGCCCACAGGTCATAGTTTCCCAACTCCTATTCTAGTCTGTTGACAGAGTTTTAGGAACAGCAGGCTTAGTCCCCTGCTCTGGGAAAAGTATAAAATATACAAAGTATTTTACAAGCCATTAGACAAATGTCTTTCCCAACTGAAAAATGAAGAGAAACAAGAGAACCTAAGTGGCTATTGACCGAAGGGAAAGGAAGAACGTAATCCAAGTTTGACGTAAGGGAGACTAAAAGTTCTATGCGATGTATGGTACAGACTTCTTTTTTTGGGTCCTTCACTGTCAGCTGGGCCAGAAGGACTTGAAAAAAGAAGACTGGACTTGGGGTTCAAAGAAGAGTGTTCAAGTGCTAGTTCTGATTTTCACTGGTTTTAGATCTTTTTAAAAGTGCCTTCATCTCTTTAAATCCTGGTTCCTTCATGTGTGTGCAAGGGGGCAGGCAGTTAGTATCAGCCCAGGGTGGTTTTGTTCTTTTATTTTTGTTTTGTGTTTTAAGTACAGTTTCCCAGGTCGCCTCCCCCAACCCCCACGCCTTCCACCTCAAAAGAGTTTTGAGCCCTAACCGGTTTGGCTCAGTGGATAGAGTCAGCCTGCGGACTCAAGGGTCCCAGGTTCGATTCCGGTCAAGGGCATGTACCTTGGTTGCAGACACATCCCCAGTAGGGAGTGTGCAGGAGGCAGCTGATGTTTCTAACTCTCTATCCCTCTCCCTTTCTCTGTGTAAAAAATCAATAAAATATATATTTTTTTAAAAGAGTTTTGATTTGGTAGATCTATTGTGAGGCCTGGCAATCTTGTTTGGTAACTTTCAGTGATTGTGTTGTGGACCATTTTGGATTCTACTAATCTATTTTTTTCAGCTCTGAAATTTTTTAACATTTCAAATAATAATTATAATAAATTAGAACATAGAATTATATTACTAACACAAATTTAAGAACCATATATATTCAGATATTTGATCATTTTTAGGGAGCATAATTAGAATAACTAGACAGAGAAGAAACTAATGAAAATCATGTTATAACTACTTATGACTTACAAAAGTTTTAGTCTTTTAGTTACGTTTATCATTGTTTCTATTTTTTATGCAATGGTTGAAAAACACCATTGAATGGTAATTTTTTGTGCTTTCAGCAATGGTAGAAATGTTCATGATTTTTAACAGGTAATAATTCACATAGTTCAAAAATCAGAATAAAAAGTTAAGAGGTGAAAAGTCTTACTCTTTCCTGTCCCCCATCCGCCTAGTTCTCACTCCCAATTCCCCAGAAAGATCATCAATTTCATTACTTTCTAATGATTTGTTTGAAAGTTTCTCTATGCAAAAAGGAACATATATCCTTCTTTTCTTCTCTTATGAAAGAAGATAGCATATTATGCACACTATTTTATACCTTGCTCTTTTTTTCATTAAACAATATGTCCTGAAGATCTTTCCATATCAATGAACAGAGGGCATTCTTTTTTCCTTTGTGTGATTGCAGTTAAATAAGCACTCTCCCAATTTCGCTGTTATCGTCTTTTGCCATTATCAATGATGCTGCAATGAATAACCTTGTAGTTTGTTCTTTAAACATGTACTGTCCAAAGTCTGGTTCCGAGTTCAGATAAATCAGGGTACAAGGGAACCCACATATCTGAATATATTTGGTTCATAAGTTTGTGTTAGTATTAAAACTTTGGTCAGAAAGGGATTTATCGAGAAATTCACATCAGTTCCTGAGTTTGGATAATGACAATTCAGAGAGTAGGGGATATTTCTCTATCTGTAGGATAACTCCCAGAAGTGCTGAGTCAACAGATATATTAATTATCTATTGCTATATAATAAGTTACCCCAAGACTTAGTGGCTTTAAAATAACAAGCATTTACCTTACACATTTTCTAAGGATCAGGAATCTGTATACAATTTGCCTAGGTGGTGCTGGCCCAGGATCCCTCATGAAGTTGTCAAGCTGTCAGCCAGGGTGGCAGTCATCTGAGGGCTTGACCGGGGTTGGAAGGTCCACCTCCAACACGATTAATTCACATGGCTGTTGGCAGGAGGCCTCAGTTTCTTGCTGCCTATTGCAGAAGTCGTCAGGCCTTTCCACGGGGCTGCATGAATGTCCTCAAAACATGGCTGATAATTTCCCCTAGAGTGTTGATCTTAGAGAGAGAACAATATGGAAGCTACAGTGCCTTTTATGACCTCTACTTTATTCTGCTTTACTCTCTTCATTAGAACTGTGTTACTATGTCCAAACAGCCTACACCCAAGGGCTTCACCTCTTAAGGGGAAGAATAGTAAAGAATTTGTGGGCATAGTTTTAGTTTTGTTTTGTTTTTAATCCTCATCAGATGATATTTTTGCCCTTGATTTCTAGAGAGAATGAAAGGGAGAAAGGAGAGGAGAAAGAGAAACACGGATTGGTTGCCTCCCACAGGTGCCCCCATCAGGGCTGGGGACCTGTAACCGAGGTACTTGCCCTTGACCGGGAATCGAACCTGAGACCCTTTGGTCCATGGGCCAATGCTCTAACCACTGAGAAACCAGTCAGGACATATTTTTAAACTGCCACAAAGGGTATGTGCATTTGTAATTTTGATAAATATTTCCAAATTGCCTTCCATAAGCCTTGAACTAATTTAGATTCCCAGCAATGTTAGAGTTGCCAGACTTTTAAAGTGAACTTAATATAGTTCATGCGACATACAGACAAGTCGGAGAAAAATTAAGCCACCAATTCATCACAGTCTGTTTTTTGTGGACTGTATTATGTGTGTTTCCTCCACTCATTTGTTAGCTCCTGGAAGACAGGAGCACACTTTCTAAATCTTTATTGCCACCAGAGAACTTAGCCTTATGCTTTGTATTATAGTAGAAGTGCAGTAATTTTTTTCTTTGTCTCTGTATATACATACAGAAAGCAAGCAAACAAGTCACTAATTATTAAATCTTGTCTAAGAAGACAACTTTAGGGTTCGGAAATAATACTAAGAAGAAAAGTTTCAGCCACTTTAAAAATAGTACCACTGAACTAATTCAAAGTACCGTTTCTAAAATACTCTTGATTTGTACTTTTCTGAGGTAGTTGTTTGGGTTACCCAAATTAAATATCACTCTCAGAATAAGGTGTTGAAGCAAGATTGGATAGCATTTCTCAGAAGTATCATGAGCTTATATTTATGATAAAGGTTGGACTAGGTACATGCCAAAGTCTTTTCTGACCATAAGATTGTTTAAGAGTGTGAAAATGGTCAAGATAATTTCAGATCATATAACCTATTTAATGTAGGTAAGCATTTCTTTTGGCAAGAGGTGCATCTCCTGAAAAGTTTTCATATAAATGAAACCGTTCCAGTTGTACTTGGAAAACATAGTCATTTGGGGCAAATAAATTAAGAAAGGACCATTTAACTTTAAATGATTTCTCCTTAATTTATCCTTTTTGTTATTTCACGTTGTCATAAATTGAGTTTGCTTAAAACAGGGAAAACCTATAATATAGATATTTGGTAACTGATAAATAATCTGTTCTATGCAAAGGGACTTCTCTATTGATACTGATTTTGATGTGACTGATAGTTTACCTTTTAGTTTATATCCTTAAAAGGGAATTTTCTTTAAGTGCATCAAATGGGGGAACATTAATTATCTATAAAATCAGTATTTTTAAGCATTTGAGTATAGGTTAGAAAAGCCAAGACGGCCAAAGAAAACTTTGTTCTCACAGTTCCTGCTTGGTCCCTGATAATTCCCCAGATGTGTAAAGACTCAAAGTAGTATTAGTGAAATGGTTTACTTAGTGTTTGCTCTGTGTTTTCTATTATAAAAAATAAAGAAGTACATCACTTGTCAAAAAGATTTATTAGATTAAGAGATTTTAGGGAAAGAGTAGTAACTATTAGTATTTTTTCATCTTTAGTGCTATCTAACTCTATTTATTCAAAAATAAAATTTGCAGAAGGGTCTTATTTGGCCAGAGTATATGCAGGCGTATGGATGTGTGGATGTTGAAACACAAGCAAACAAAAACCCTAACATTAGTGTCCCTTTTTTCTCCAGCCATAACCTCAATAGTGGAGCCCCAATGCTGCTTGCACTGATACCACAACTGAAAACACAAGCTATATATAGCAGGCAGCATTTGACTTCTGTAAAAGCAAACAGTATCTTTATAAGTTAAGGCAAATAGGCAAACAGAATGACTTAAATTGAGGCTTTCTTATTCTCCAATGGTAAGTAGAAAAGGGAAAAGATATTCTCCAAAATCTAAGGACTCAAGAGAGCTAAAGAATAAATACTTTTTAAATTTTTTAATTGAATAAAAAGTTTTTTATCTTGAAATTGAATATTCTATTGACATTTGCAGTTTTCTTTAGAGCCTAAAATATTTTCCTTGGGAAGAAATACATTTCATTTAGGTTTTCCAAATCCATATACTCTGATCTAGCCTTCAAAATTTCTTTCTTACAACTTAGGAGATCATTAATTTTTTAAAAGTCAGATGATCATTTTAACCCTTTGGGAAGATAGATGTTACATTATTTTCCCTATTGAAATATTATCCATAACAACTTCAGAGACAAAGACTTAGTAGTAAACATAAACTAGAACTCCCTTTGGGGTACCTGTGACCCAAAAATGTAAGAATCTAGAAAACCTATTTAGAGATGGCATTCTCTCTCCAGACATTACAGTTACCTATGGACTAATATAGAGTCTTAGAAAATTTGGGTTCACTGGTAAGAAAAGTATAATTATTTCTACAATAATTTGCTTGAATTCTGAAAGTCAGATCACGTATTTTTGTGCTTTCAGCACACAGTAGAACAAGGGTCACTTCACTGAGTGGAATCCATTTCCCACTCCTGGAATCAGCTGGGGGCTCTAGCTAGGAGGAAGGAGCCCGAGTGGTAGTTGTAACACACAACAGAACCACTTAGGCCATTTTTCAGATTATAAATTTATTCTTAAGGTGCTCTAACATGTCCAGATTATCTTCAGAAGTCATTAAAGAGGAGAAAATGAAAAGGGGCTCTGAGACATCTCTTTAAGAGACAAGTGATTCAACAATTTGGATTCTCATTGAAGCCATCTGTCACTGTGATGATAGTGAGCTGAAGAATCAGTGTTAAAATACACTGTTGTTAAGCATTGTCTGCTCAAAGATCTTATCTCATGAGGGCAAATGTTTTGCTTAAATTTATTTACTTACTGATAGATTTTACAGAGAGGAAGGGAAGGGGGGGGTAGAGAGAGGGGGAGAGAGAAAGAGAGGAGAGAGAAACATCAATTTGTTGTTCCACTTATTTATGCATTCATTGGTTAATTCTTGTATGTGCCCTGACTGGGGATCAAACCTGCAACCTTGTTGTGTCAGGAGGATGCTCTAACCAACTGAGCTACCCGACCAGGGCCATGAGGACAAATATTTTGATGATACCAAAGCTTTTTCTGAATGTAGTCTTTTGCTTTTGGGCCTTGGATCCTTGACAGTATGGATAAAGAGTGGTGGTTTTCCTTTATTTTAAACCCTCAGATCATTGAACTTTATGCAAGTAAATGCAATGGTATGTTTGAAACTGAAACATAAACTTCCTAAGTATAATAGAGAAATATTTGACAATAGTTTATATGAGTGTTTTCCAGAATACAATATAGTAGGTCATCAGCATTTAAAAAAAAATAGAAATGATCAGAGTACACTGCACAAAATATAGGGATTATATTGTGTTGGAAATTTTTACATTCAGTTATTTATATATGTGTGTGTGTATTGGGTTATAATGTAAAATATTTTTTTCTTTTTTAAAAAATATTTAAATCAGGCTTTAAAATTCTTTATTATTGAAAGTATTTAAAATATATTTCTTACAAATAATATTGGAGAAATACTGATGTTTAGAAAATATGGATGGAGAAACAAATGGAGACCTGCTATGTCAGACCACCACTGAATGGACTTTTATAATTACATATCGTTATAGTTAGCTCTGCTTTCTGGATTTCACCATTGTAACAGGCAAAACTAGATGGTGGAAGACAACAGTGGAGACCTGTTCTCATGGCTGTGACTGAAAAGGATTTGCTGCTTTATGACTGTATGCCATGGACAAGGGATGCCTGGGCATCACCATGTCACAGCTACCCTCTTGTTGCCACAAGGTAAGACAAAAGACACAAAAAGAAAGTATCTGTCCTACTCTAAATCTTCTAAAGAATTTTAAAGTGAAGTCTATGATCTTAGGTGCCTAAAATAGGATTTAAGTAGCTGACATAGTTGATTTAGACAAAAACTTTTATTTCACAACCTTATTGATTATTTTGCTTCTCTTAGTTCAGAATAAATGGTTTCTGTCATTAGTATTTTTGTGCGCATTTTTTAAGTTGTTGAAGCCGCTTTCTAACTGCTCCCTTCAAGACTTGCTTAGTCATGAATATAAGTAAATAGTGTGTGTTTTTTTCCTTTACTTTATTGACTGTGACTACAAAACCACTGAAATTGTGGTAGCCTCTTGACCGAGTGATGAAATCATTTAAACCAGAATGTGGTACTGTGGATAAACCACACAGCTCAGCCAAAATATTCTTCAATTTCTCTTTCTGGTAGAAGAGCACATAATTTTGATTCCATCAAATAAACATTGATTTGACCTGAAGCAATGGGATGTTTCTAGCATGCTAGAAGTGGGGAGTTGGAAGCACAAAGAACAGAGAAATGTAGATTTGGGTGCCAATATGTCTTAAGAGAGAACTGGAAACTAGTTACCTTGTGTTAAACTAGAAGACATATTGCACATTTAGTTTTATTGGAGCTTTAAAAAGAATCAGGTTTTTTTTGTTGTTGTTTTTTATTGATTAAGTTATTGCATATGTGTTCATATCCCCCCCATTGCCCCCAAGAATCAGGTTTTGATGTAACTCAGAAACTACACATTAAAAAGGAGCCCCACAGAAAAGCATTTGTTACTCAAAAGAGCTAAATGTTGAAACCATCTGGTATGTCCCACAGGGAACAGTGGGGAGCAGTCCTGCTTTGAGCAAGCAAAGATTTATGCGAGGAAGGGTATTCCTTACATTACAGGAAGACTTTCATGTTATATAGGACTTCCTGCAACTTGCCACGCTCCCTTACATATATCTCTTTTTTTTAAATAAAAATACAATTTTTACATAGCTTTTCAGGAGTGTCTCTGTGATTTAGAGCTGGATCGCCTAGATCACAGAATAGAGACAAGGGATTTGTTGAGCCTCAGAATGAGAGAGGTCCCCTCATTAAGTCCTTCAGGTCATAAGGGTCCTGCAGGAAGACTGACTCTAACCGTCAGTTTCTCTTATTTTGTTTCTTTTTTTTTTTTTTAATATATTTTATTGATTTTTTACAGAGAGGAAGGGAGAGAGAGAGAGAGAGAGTTAGAAACATCGATGAGAGAGAAACATCGATCAGCTGCCTCCTGCACATCTCCTACTGGGGATGTGCTCGCAACCTAGGTACATGCCCTTGACCGGAATCGAACCTGGGACCTTTCAGTCCGCAAGATGATGCTCTATCCACTGAGCCAAACTGGTTTCGGCCCTTATTTTGTTTCTTAATCCCCACTAAATTATAACCTTGAGTTAAGAACTGTGACTTAGCCATCTCAGTACTTCCTATAATGCTTTGCATATAGTAGGCCCTCATTAAACTCAGTTGAGTTAAATTCTGTTACTTAAGTTATAGTTTCTCTGTCATGGTTACATTGGAAGCATGACAGGAATCCTATGAAAACATGTGGACATGTCTCAGTAATTATAAGTGCAATGATTAAATTTGCAAAGAGTTAAGCTTATGAATATGACTGTAGAGATTGCTTAAGTTTAAATTTCAGGGTAAAAGCTTATTCTCTAGTTATGATTATAAAATGCAAGGAGGGTAGTTTTATCCTTAGACCTTTCCTTAATTGTGGCACTGTGACATTCCATAGGTGAGCCTTTGTTTAATACTAGAAATTACAATCCCATGAACAACTAGGTTCTGGCCATGGGCTAGACAAGTCCTAGACTACAAAAAGCACTTTGGTACTAAGGAAGGAAATGGGGTGTTTGTGTTTGTACTGTTAGTGTGGTATTAATTTGCAACTAAAGAAAAGTTAGAAATAAATTTAAGAGTTAAAATTATAACAGGAGTAGATCTTCATGACCTTGGCTTGGGCAGAGCTTTCTTAGATAGAACACCAAAAGTGTAAGCAACAAAAAATAAGTCAATTAGACTTCATCAAAATTTTTTTAAAAATTTGTGCTTCAAATGTCACCATAAAGAAAATGGAAAAAAACAAAAAAGAAAGTGAAAAGACAACCCACAGAGTGAGAGAAAATATTTGCAAACTATATATCTAATCAGGATCTTATATCTAGAAAATAGAACTCTTACAGCTCAATAATAAACAAATAAATTACCCAATTAAAATGGGAAAAGGATATGAATAGACATTTGTCCCAAGAAAATATACAACTAGTTAATAAGCCCATAACAAGATGCTCCACATAATTAGCCATCAGGGAAATGCAAATCGAAATTACAGTGCGATAGATACCTCTTCCTACCCACTAGGATGCCTATAAGTAAAAAAACAGATAATAATAAGTGTAGACTTGGATGTGGAGGAAATGAAACTGTCATACACTGGCTCCTAGAAATGAAAATGGTGCAGTCAATGTGGAAAACAGTCTGGAAGTTCCTCAAAAGGGTAAACATAGAGTCACCGTATGACCCAGCAATTCCATTCCTGTGTTGTATACCCAAGAGAAACAAAAACTTATGTCCACCCACAAAATTACACATGAATGTTTACAACAGCATTATTTATAAAACCCAAACAGTGGAAGCAACCCAAGTTCATTCAAATAATGAATGAATAAAATATGGTATATCCATACAATAGAATATTGTTTGGAAATAAAAAAGAGTAAGATTTTGATAAACTCTGCAATATGGATGAGCCTTGAAAACGTTATGCTAAGTGGAAAGGAGCTAGACACAAAAGACCACATAGTATTTGATTCCATTTGTATAAAATGTCTAGAATAGGCAGAGCTATAGAGACAGAACAATTAGTCATTGCCAGGAATATAGGGTGGGGAGTGGGAGAAACAATGAGTATCGGATGTCTTTTGGAAGTAATGAAAATGTGCTAAAATGCAATGTGGTAGTGGTTATATAACTTTGTACTAAAATCTATTGAACTATACATTTTAAATGGGTAAAGTGTATGGCATGTGAATTATATATTTCAATAAAGATGTTATAATTAAAAAAATACAATGCCATTTAATGGAAGGGACTAAGGCCAATCCTTAATAAACTTGAGTTTGAATCCTTATTTTGCCACTTCTAGTAGGTAATTGGGAGCATGTTACTTAACCTTTCTGTGCTATAGATTTTTCATTTGTTAATGAAACTCTAATGAGATAGGTCGGGTGTGAGTAATAAATGAGTTAATACTTGTAAAATGCCTACAATGGTACCTAACACGTTGTTAGCTGCTTTAATTATAAGAATAATAATTTATTATTAAGTGAAAATAAGTCAAAGAAGAATTCTATATAAAAAATATAATTGGTTTAATTTGGCCATTGTTAAAAGAGGAGTTTAGTTTTACAACAGCTTTTACAAGTAGTGAAAGTTTCATATTAAATGTGAGGAATTCAAATGTATTATTTGGATCAACCTAGACATGCAAATTGAAATTGTCCATTAATTAAATGGGTGGGGCCTGTAGCTCCCTGAACATGTTTCATGCTAAGAGTAATTAATGTGACAGCAGGGATTCTTAACTCCTTGTTCAGGAAGTACCAGTGGATTAGGAACATAGATGACAGGCAGATGAGAAGTTTAGTTTTTCCATGTGGCCATCTCCACCAGGTGGAATTGGTTTAAGTCAGTACATGATATAATTAAGTGGGATTTTATCATCCTCTGTCTCCCAGAGTGGGTAGAGTATGGTCACTGAGAGAGAGGCCCGAGGATGGAACCAGACCAGGAGGTTTACCACAAAGAAAGGCAAGGCCAGAAAGTGGTGTGCTTGTGTCTTTTTAGTGTAGGGGAAAGAGAGGGTTTGAGATTTATATGAGTAACTAGAGGCCCAATGCATGAAAATTTGTGCAAGAGTAGGCCTTCCTTCCCCCAGCTGCCAGCACCAGCTTCCCTCTGGCACCCGGGACCCGGGTTGGCTTCCCTCCAGCCCCAGCTTCATCAGGAAGGACGTCCGGAATGATGTCCAGAAGACGTCTGGTCTAATTAGCATATTACCCTTTTATTAGTATAGATGAGAAAGGGCTGAATGTTCACTTTTCACTGATTCTATCTCTAATACTTATGAATGGATGAGACAAGAAAAAAAGATAGCATAAACACATAGGGAAGAAAAATTAAGGACCTTGATTATCCACAAAAGTAGATGGTCAAAAATCAAAGAACATTGTCAGGGTAGTGTAATTTAAATTATCATGAGTTATCATTTATATTGGCTTGCACCCCTACAGATTCTTGGAAAGCAAGGCTTCGTGTGTGTGTGTGTGTGTGTGTGTGTGTGTGTGTGTGTGTGTACTTAAATAGCTGATATTTCAGAATTATGTAAAACATTAAAGTGGTAAATGAAGAGGATTTTTATTTATTTTTTTAATTTTATTTTTATTTTATACATCTCGTGAGATTAAAGCCAGATACATGATAGAGGTAGAAGAACACATTGGTTTAAAGGTGCTGTGAGTTTTGTAGGATGTGCATTTTGTCGTCTTTTTCAATAAGCTCTCTTTGGAGGAGAAAAAGATCCAAAGAAAGTGTGACTGCTTTACAGTGTGGAAAGGGAGTGGTGGTGTGCTTGTAGCACTTACAGGGCAAAAGCTGCTAAAACGCCTTTGCGTGAGCTCATCTGGCCTCCCCACTAAGGGGGCCTTTTGGCGGCGTGCGCTAACTAACTGCTCACAGCAAAACTCCAGCAGCTGGTTTGCATTAGATTCCCTCTGCCAAGTATTTCATAATCAGATCTGTAGGAAACATTTTCCTAGACTTTATTTTTTTAATGTCTGACTTGGGATTAACAACCAAACTGAATATGGTAGACCGCACCCTGTCACTTTCCCCATGCTCTGCCTTACTTGGATGATATGTGGAGTAATTTTGAAGCTTATTTAACTCTTGCTGAAATAGCTAATGTTTAAGTGGCATGTTAGTTCTCTCGGAATCAACTCAATGAGGCGGTTCTCAGAGTCTACTTTCATGGACCTCTGGGGATCCCTTCTTCAGGGGATCTGAAGATGAGTTCAAAATTATTACTAAGAAATAACTTGCTTTTTTCACTGTTGACATTTGCACTGAGAGTTGGTAAAATTGCTGGTGCCTTATCATGAATCAAGACAATTGGCACCAAACTGTATGACTTGGAGGGGGTGGGAGGATGCCAATTTAACCTAAAAATGTCTTTGTTGGAGCAGTAAAAATTATTCGTTTTATTAACTCTCAATCCTTGAGTATTCATCTTTTTAATATCGTGAAGTATGGTGGTTTTCTCAAAAGAAAAGCACCTGTGTATTTGAGTTGTGAGCTGAACTTGCTGTGTTTTTCATGGAACACCATTTTTACTTGAAATAACAACTGGCTGACAAACTATGGTAACTGAGACTTGGGTATTCGTCAGACATTTTTCTCTAAAATGACCAAAATGATTTTGTCACTTAAGAAAAACACGGGTAGTATTTGTTGTCAGTTATAAAATTCTAGCTTTCAAACAAAAATTGGAATTCTGGAAAACGTGTATCTGTCCCTGTGAGTTGACAGCTTTCCAGCACCTAAAGAATTTTCTGATGATGTAACAGTAATTATCAATAAATATAATGGATGCAAACAAAAGCATTTTAATTTCTAATTATCATTAAATATAACGAATGTAAACAAAAGCATTTTAGAGTACAGTTTAGTGCTTCTCAACTGTAGCCTCACACTTGAACCATCTGTAAGTGAGGTGTTAGCAAATGTCACTTTTTGATATTGCATAATGAGATGGTTTAAATGTTTGGAAAATCTGCATAGCTCAGTGAAAAAATATTTTCCAAGTGACCAATGAATGATGTTACAAAATCATGCAAGCATATAAAAAAGATCCATTCAAAATGCAAGAGAAACCAGTGGATTTTTAATGTAACAGGATATTAACTTTATTGGTAAGGTTTCAGATCCTACAATGCAGCTGACCTTTAAGAAAGCACTTGATGCCTGGATGCAGTTGCTCAGTGATTGAGCGTAGACCTATGAACCGGGAGGTCAGGGTTCGATTCCCAGTCAGGGTACATGCCTAGATTGCAGGTTCAATCCCCAGTGTGGGGTGTGCAGGAGGCAGCCAATGAATGATTCTCTATCATCATTGATGTTTCTATCTCTCTCCCTCTCCCTTCCTCTCTGAAATAAGTAAAAATATATTTAAAATATATTTTTTAAAGCCCTAGTTGGTTTGGTTCAATGGATAGAACGTCAGCCTGTGGACTGAAGGGTCCCAGGCTTGATTCTGTTCAAGGGCACATGCCCAGGTTGCAGGCTCAATCTTCAGTAGAGGGTGTGCAGGAGGCAGCCAATCAGTGATTCTCTCTAATCATTAATGTTTCTATCTCCCTCTCTCTCTCCCTCTCCCTTCCTCTCTGAAATTAATAAAAATATGTTTTTTAAAAAAGAAAACACTTGGCGTTTTGGTTCAGTGGACAGGATATCCACAAATATCTCAAAAGTCTATTAAAATACTTCCTTTTCTAGCTGCATACTGTGTGAGGCTGGGGTTTCTTCATATACTTCAACTACATACTGCAACAGAACGCAGAAGCTGATAGGAGAATTCAGCTACCTTTCATTAAGCTGGATATAAGAAAATTTGTAAAAAATTAAAATAGTGCCACTCTTCATTAAATGTTTTTGTTTTGGAAGATATTTTAATAAAGATAAGTTATTTATATTAACATGTCAATGGGGAAAAAAAAGGAGACATGTACTACTATTTGTAATACCTTAAACAAAAAATTAATTTTAAAAAAAACATGTGACAGGTTTATTATTTTTAAATGAATTAATAATTATTTTTAAATTGCTCAGTTTTAATTTCTAGTTATCAATAAATATAATGGATGCAAACAAAAGCATTTTAATTTCTAATTATCAATAAATATAATGAATGTAAACAAAAGCATTTTATTTTTTTATTTTTTTTAAATATATTTTATTGATTTTTTACAGAGAGGAAGGGAGAGAGATAGAGAGTTAGAAACATCGATGAGAGAGAAACATCGATCAGCTGCCTCCTGCACATCCCCCACTGGGGATGTGCCCGCAACCCAGGTACATGCCCCTGACCGGAATCAAACCTGGGACCTTTCAGTCCGCAGGCCGGCGCTCTATCCACTGAGCCAAACCAGCTTCGGCAACAAAAGCATTTTAGAGTACTCAGTAGTTTTTAAGAGTATAGAAGGGTGCTCAGACAAAAATGTTGGCAAGCCACTAGTTTAGTGCTTCTCAACTGTAGCCTCACACTTGAACCATCTGGAAAAATTTTAATGAAGTTTCCTGGGCCACACCCTAGACCAGTTAAGTCTGAATTTTTGAGGATGTGAGCCAGGCATCAGTCGTTTTTAAAAGCTATTTACCAGGTGATTCTAGTATACAGCCAGGGTTGAGAACTATAGTAATTAACTTGGTTAAACCAGTTGGTGGATTAGAAGAAATTGCCTTTTCTTTAAGAAATGCACTCTTGCCTTTTATCTGAACCAATAGTGACTCCCTGACAACTAAGGGCAATGTAAAGGAGCACCCATTTGCTCTTAGATGTGTTCTTCCTCAGGTTGTTAGAGGAGTGAAGGAAGGAGCCAACATATTTGTAGAAAATATTATAGGTATACAGCCTACCATGAAGCCAACAAGACATTTTTTTTTCTCTTTGCTGTACATTTCTTAGTCAAGTTTTTAAAAATTCTGAATGGAAAACATTGTCGGCTGGATTTCTAATAAGTGAGGAAGTATGTACTTTTATACTGATCTACTTAGAACTTATAGGAAATATTTTTTGGAAGAAGTGAATAAATTGAACTGTATTAAGTGGTTGCCATGAAACAAAATGTTGAATAGTTTAATGACCCTAAAGAAAATGACTTTTCTCTTGTTTTTTTCCACATCTGTACTTCACTGTGTGTGGGGTTTTTTAGCAGTTTCATTGAGGTATAAACTGTAGACTTTGGGTGATTATGATGTGTCAGTGTAGGTTCATCCTTCACGCGCACACACACACACAAATTATATTTTTATATATATATATATACACACACACACATATATATACACACATATATACATATATATATATATATATTTACACACACACACATAATCTGGTGAGTGAGGTTGATAAAGAGAGCAGCTATGCATGTGTAGGGGCTTATCATTTCCTAAACAGAATTGAACCTTTTATTGATATGCATAGCCTCTTGGGAGCATAAAAATGTCAGTGGGAAATTGGGGACTTGTGCCTGTGACACCAAGGGTCATTTTATGGGAAAACAGAATGGTATCTACTTATATTGAAATGTACTTCTCCAAACACTGCTGATGGCTTTTATAATTTTCTGCGTATCAGCCGGCATCAATTGCTGACATCTTCCTCCGACAGTACATTAAGTACTTTTAATCTTTACTCTGTTTGTGGTCCTAGGTTGGTTCATTCTGGCTCTGGATGTCGATCACCCTCCCTTGGTTCTGACCTCACGTTTGCTACCAGGACAGGCTCTCGGCAGGGCATTGAGATGCATCTCTTCAGGGTGGAGACACATCGGGATCTGTCCACCTGGACCAGGATACTCGTTCAGGGTTGCCATGCTGCTGCTGAGCTGATCAAGGAAGTCTCTCTAGGTATAGATCCTGGCATTTAACTTATAATAGTAATTAAATTGAACTGTTGTTATACATAAAGTACAAGTCATTATCATGTGTACCAGACTTTAAAATGTTCTGAAATATGGCAGCTTAAAGTGATCATGATGGGAAGAAACCTGGTTTCTTTGTTTTAATAGCGAAGTTTTTCCAAGCCTTGTACATGACTCTGAGCACATTCATAAAACCCTCTGTACAAGATGGCAGTTTTACTGTTCATCATTTTAATCTGTCTGATAACATAAAGACTCATTTACCAAGTACTAGATGCATTGACCCTCTAGTTAAGATTTGGAATATAAGATATAGATAGATACCCTTAAAATAAGCTTATGGCTATAGAAAAATAATTTGGAATACCAGTTTCTTTTCAAAAGTTTGAAGATGTGTACCCAATACTTATTGAAATAAGCATCTGAAGGAATTAATTTTGGCGATCGCTTTCCATTCTTAAAGCGCCCTCTTGTGGCTAGTCTATATGATTAGGGGTGTGGTTTCATATGTATGCACAGTATTTGTGTATTATGCACCGTATATATGTACAGATATTTCCAGATTGCCTTTCATTTTAATAAGAACAGAGAATAGTCAAAATTAATATCCAATTACAGTTTCTAATATAGTTTGAATTGCTTTAAATATCTTGGTTATAAGTTGGTTTACTTAATTTTGCTGCTTTTATCCATGATTTTATTTTATAGACCTAGTTTTACAGAATTTATAAAAGAGAAAATGTTTCAAGAGCAGAAAGTCTTGTGATTTATCTTTCTTTCTGTTGCTCTTGAAAGCGAGGGAGCCCATGGCTTAGAAGTGCAGGGGCACAGGGACAGTTTCTTAGTGTTGTCAGATAGTGCAGATCTTCATCTATTTAGGACGTCGATATTTTCCTCACAGCCACAGTGACGATCCAAGCAATGACACCAGTGACTAGTAAGAACCCACCGTGGGTTTTGACCAAAGCCACCACATCCACTCTGTCCTTCTCAGTGGTCTGTCTCCTGTCTGTTTTCTCTGTGAAGTGGTTGGTCACCACATTAAGGGCTGTGGGGCTCTAGTTTTCATCTTGACCACAGACTGTGCTTTCTGGGATGGCCAGTGCTCAGTCTGAAGGGCTGCGATGCTCTGTGTTCCTGTGCGGAGCCTGAACAATCAGGCGAGCACACCCATCCTGGCATCTGGGGTCATCAGATCTTCTCCGAGGATCCGGAGAGATATGCTTCCCAAGCAAAGAGTTCAACTTGGATTTTTTTAAAAATATATATTTTATTGATTTTTTACAGAGAGGAAGGGAGAGGGATAGAGAGTTAGAAACATCGATGAGAGAGAAACATTGATCAGCTGCCTCCTGCATACTCCCCACTGGGGATGTGCCCGTAACCAAGGTACATGCCCTTGACCGGAATAGAACCCGGGACCCTTGAGTCCGCAGGCCGATGCTTTATCCACTGAGCCAAACCGGTTAGGGCTCAACTTGGATTTTTAACATTTTTTAGTTTCGGGTTGTTTCTTTGGTGTCTGGGAGCCAAACTTTATCTTCCAGGAAATAAAAAATCTATTTAATCCCCGGCTCACAATTGTTTAAATAGAGACGGCTTGAGGAGGAGAATAAAGACAGCTGGTTCCTTATATTTTTAAATAGACAAAAGAAACATTTTTAGGTAGATTTTGAACTTGTTGTTCTCATTCACAGCCTTATTTAATCATTACCTTGGTAATACTTTCATTTTCACAATTCAGGTCAACTGATGTGCTATACCTGTTAATCACTTACTCTATAGAGGTCTGCCAGATATATTAAACTGGCTGAAGGGAAACTGCTTTGGTGAAAGTCAAAGTTTCTTTAAAACGTGTGTGTGTACATGCACATACTCATGTGTGCACACTTAGTCTGCTGTCTTAATGTGTGTATACTTAGTACACACATTTGCATATATACACACATACAAACAAAAACAAGCATGTTCTTTAGATACATGTTACCACCTTCTGGTCCATTGATTCAGAAAGGTTCATTTAAAACCAGTTAACTGCCACGCATCCAAAACGGAAACCATCCCCACACGCCACGATATTTTGAATTTAATTTAAAAAATCAATTTGCAATGAATATTATAAAAATAAATATATTACTCACAATTCGGGTGTTCTTGAATATTTTCAGCTGAAAATTTTTTAAAGTTGGTCAGGGCTGCCACTTAGGGGAAATTGTTTGTTCTTTTTATAGATGCACGTGGCGTGTGTGGAAGGTCCACCACTTGCGTTTACAGGCACTTATGGCATACAATGGGTAAAGCTATAATTGTGGCCCTAGCCAGTTTGGCTCAGTGGATAGAGCCTTGGCCTGTGGACCAAAGGGTCCCAGGTTCGATTCTGGTCAAGGGCACGAACCTTGGTTGCAGGTTCCTCAGGGCTCGTGCAGGAGACAACCAATCGATGTGTTTTTCTCACATCGATATTTCTCTTTGTCTTTCCCTCTCTCTTCCACTCTCTCTCAAAATCAATGGGGAAATATCCTTGAGAGAGGATTTAAAAACATATATATATATACACACACACACACACACACACATATACATACATATATATATATATATATATATATATATATATATATGTTAAAAATAAAATTATAATTGTGGCACATTATACTACATATTCAGATATATAATGTTCATTTGTTCATTTCGTGTGTTTTATTTTTATTGATTTCAGAGAGGAAGGAAGAGGGGGAGAGAAATAGAAACAACAATGATGAGAGAGAATCATGGATCAATGCTCAACCCTGAGCCACACCAACCAGGCTGTTCATTTCGTTTTAAATCTTTATTAGATTATAGTTACAGTAGAATTGATCTGTGATCCTTCTGATATGCAAGGACTTTTTTCTTCTAGCAAAGATGAACTTCAAGATGACTAAGCAGAGAATACAATTAACTCCCTCAGATCCATAAAACCATTTCCATTAGTCACAGGGTTTGAAAATATGAAAATACATATGAGTGTAGCTGTTTGTAGTTTAAGAAGTATGCTTTTAAAGGCTTAATTTTATTATATCAATTACCCAAGCTATTGAAGTTTTTAAATCGTGCAAGAAGCTTATGAAGATACTTTATATTTCTGTAGCTTTAGTAAAATGGGCTAAGAAGTCATAGACATAGGTAGGAATTGCATTAATAAATATGCAGAAAATCCTAAGAGGAGAAGGAACATCGGCATTTAAAAGTATATTGTTGCCTGGCCGGCATGGCTCAGTGGTTGAGAGTCAACCTGTAACCAGGAGGTCACTGTTCGATTCCTGGTCAGGGCTCATGCCTGGGTTGTGGGCTTGAGCCCCAGTGGGGGACATGCAGGAGACAGCCAATCAATGATTCTCTCTCCTCATTATTAATCTGTTAAGAGGTAATCCGCACTATTAACTGGTTAATTAATCCGCATTATTAACCGGTTATTAGTTAATCCGCATTGTTAACCGGTTAAGAGTTAATTGGAACTATTAACCAGTTAATAATTAATCCACATTATTAACTGTAACAATGCGGATTTTGTAATCAAAGAAAACATGATAATTTCAAGAGAAACATCAAAAGTGCTTTATTCAAAGTAATGTCCATCACTAGCTACACATTTCCCCCATCTTTCAGGTAATTTGTGGGTACCGTCCCAATAGAACTTTTCTTGTTTTGAGGCAGACCATTCAGAGACCCAATTTTCCACTTCTTCGTACGTTTTGAAGTGCTGCTCAGAAAGTACGTGTGCCATCGATCGGAACAAGTGGTAATCTGAAGGAGCAATACAACAAAATAGCATACATATCAACTCGCATATATATCAACATATGTATAACTCCATCTATTGAAAAAAATCCGCATTATTAACCGGTACACCTAGTAAGTCATAAATGAGATACGTGTTAGATAACCCTAACACACAACCCTCTGAGGCAAATTTTATCACCTCCATTTTCAAGATGAAGGAACTGGCGTTAGTGTGGCTGCAACTTGAATTGGGGACTTTCTGACTTCAAAACCAGTGCCTCAAGCCTCTGCACTTAATGACTCATTCTTACGGCCAAATCAAACTTCTAGAGGGCATATACGTCATCAGTTTCTCTTAATTCATTAAATCAACAAATATTTACTGAGTATGTTATTAGTTACAAAGCTCTGCTTGGTAATGAGGGAAATAAAAATAAATAAAACTTACCTCATGCCTTTGACCAAATAGCTATAAGTGAGGAACATAGTGTCATGTTCTTCTTTGTAACCCTGAGAATGATTAGCCTGTTGCTTATACTTGATGGACTGGCTTTCCCTATGCGTAGTAATGGAGAATGTTGCCTCAGTCCTTCTCTGAGAGTCCTGAGCAGCCCAACCAGGTTGAACCTGCGAAGCCCACTCCCTTCTGGGTTGTTCTGAACGCCCAGAGGAGCCCACACGGTCCTGCAGCTGGGAAAGGGTCTTGCTGGAAACATTGGTGCCCCCAGAGTCCTCCTCCCGTGTAACTGGCCCCAGAGCAGCAGAGACAGGATTTGCAGGGTAGAATTTATTTATTTGCAGGGTCTTTGTCCTTCGTGATACACTGGTAACCATTTAGAAAGACACATGGTAGCCCTAGCTGGTTTGGCTCAGTGGATAGAGCGTTGGCCTGGGGACTGAAGGGTCCCGGGTTCAATTCTGGTCAAGGGCACCTGCCCAGGTTTCGGGCTCAGTCCCCATTGGGGGGCGTGCAGGAGACAGCCGATCAATGATTCTTTCTCATCATTGATGTTTCTATCTCTCTCTCTCTCCCCCTCCCTCTCTGAAATCAATAAAAATATATTTTTTTAAAAAAAGAAAGACACAAGGTAGAAAACACAAGTTATATTTACCAGTATTTATCTTGGTGTGACACTAATAGATTTATTACTAATTAATGAGCTTTTCTTTCTCTTAGCTGAATTTTTTTTTTTTTTAGTATTAAGGGAGTTGCTTAGAAAGTTATCTTTAATGTATGTTATTACACTCAACAATATCCTTGTGGTTTGAAGAAGGCAATGTCCCTTCCACTTAGCAGATTATGAAGTGGTAGCCAGGGCTGTAGAAGGAAAACCAGGGTGGGTGGGGACAGGCAGTATCAAAGGAAGAGCATTCGAGAAGAGGAATGGCCAGTAGGGTTAAATGTGTCAGTTGGGATGATTTCGGATGCAATTAATAGAAAATATCCTCTAAAACTAGATTAAACATTAAAGAAACGCATTCTCTTACATAAAAGAAACGAGTAAAAGGAGGTGGTGTTGTGTTTTCTCTTCCCAATCATAGTTCTTTTCTATCTGAGCCAGTTTGGTTCATATGCACACCCTCGACCAACGCCAATCACCAGGGGAAAGCCAGGCTGCCTGGCCCAGAGGCTGTCTGCCCTTGAAGTTGAGGTCACCCTTCCCTGAAACACTTTAGGAGAAAATAGAAACCTGAATAAAATTGGGGTTTGGCTGTAAAGGAAGAATGGAGAAATAGAAGCTGGGTAGACAGCCAACAATGAGCACTACCAGTATCAAGTAAGACAGGGCTGGAGAAGCAGGTCGGATTTAGCAACATGAAGATAATTGGTTCCCTTGGGGAGAGACACTTGGTGGTGTGATGGCTGAGGATGGGATGGGAGGTGAAATGTGGATAAACTGAGTGTAGACCGGCTCTTTCAAGAAGTTTTGCTGTGAAGAGGAGAGAGGGGACTGGTAGAAAGTGGAAGGTAAGGAGCTGAGTAGAGGTATTTCTTTTAATGAGAGAGACTTGAACATTTTGAAAAGTTAATGGAGGGATCCGTTTTAGAGGGACATGTTGCAAATGGCTTGCCTTTGCTCGCTGAGATTGCGGATCTTGCCCCACTGGGGACACCTGCAGGCGGAAATACTCACCCGCCTGCACCGCACCTTCTTCAGCCAGTGCTGCAAGGACCTGGGCAGATCCTTGTTCTTAGAGCTTTTCTAAACTAGAAGTGACCCCTCTCTTCTCGTCAGACCTCAACACCCTTGACTATACTGTAGCTTCAGGAATGTTAATAGAATAAAATTATCTTGAAAACTCTACGCTGGTTGCCTTGATTGGTGTCTTGATTGGGATCTGTCTGTTCTTTCTCCAAACCCCTCAGCCATTCATTTAGAGATTATGGCACTGGATTACTTCTACAAAGAGTTATTATTTTGTTGTTATTTATTAATCCTCACTCGAGGATATTTTTTCCATTGATTTTTAGAGAAAGTAGAAGGGATGGGGAGAGATAGAGAGAGAGACACATTGGTTGCTTCCCCCATGCACCCTGCCCAGGGCCGGGGATTGAGCCTGCAACCAAGGTATGTGCATTCAACCAGAATTGAACCACAACCCTTCAGTCCGAGGGCCGACACTCTAACCTCTCCCTATCCATCACTGCCTGTCCATTTGGTCTATTCTTTAGGGCCTATCTGAAGTCCCATCTCCTACAGGAAACCTTTCCTTGACTTTGGCCTTATTCGGTTCAGTGTGTAGTCATGTTCTGTACACCCTACTTTGCACAGGGGTTTCATGTTTATGCCTCTTCACCTGTGAGGTCCTTGAGAGCAGGGGCTGTGCCTTTTCCTTCTCCAGTACCACACACAGGCTCTTGCCAGCACGGGCTCAGTTGTCACTGAATTGAACTGAATCAGATCAGATTTCAGGGAGAGTTATGGTAATTTCCTTATCTCAATCAAGATGTTGACTTGAGTGACCAGAACAAAACTCACTGTAGGAGGTTCCAAATAGGTTAGGTATCACACATTCTTAAGATTTTGTTTCCTTTTTTTGAAGTCAGAAGAATCCTTTTCCACCTGACAACTGAAGCCGGAACTTTAACAGAGCGTTTGCTTATCTTCAACAGGCTGCACATTAAATGGCCAAGACGTGAGACTCACTGTCCACTACGAAAATGGGTTCACGATCTCCAGGGAAAATGGAGCCCCCAGCAGCTTGCTGTACCGCTACCCCTTCGAAAGGCTGAAAATGTCTGCTGATGACGGCATCAGAAATCTGTATCTGGATTTTGGTGGTCCTGAGGGAGAACTGGTGAGAGTTTCTGAAAAACATGTTTATTCTAATAGCTATTCTCTTTCTCATTTATTGTTTCTTACCCTCTTGTGTAGACATATTATGAACTGATAATCCACTTTTTTCCAGGAAACTGTTCTTCAGTTTTCAAGATGCAGTGGATTTGGGTTCTTTTTTTTTCTTTCCCACATTTGGAAATTATTCCCTTTTTTAGAAGTATTTTTTTTTAATCTTAGAAAAAAAAAATAGCCCTTTTAAGAAATAGGTTTTTATAAACAATAAGATATTAAATATTAAACATTTTAAATACTAAATAAATTCTAGTCATTGCTATTTAGCAGTTTCTTGGTATAAGAATTAAAAGTAATAGGGTGTCTTGGTTGCTACAGAAATTCTGCTGATCAGAGAAAAAGATGCAGAGATATGTCCATACAGCCATCATTTTCTTTTTTTACCTCCTTGTCCCTTAAAGGAAATTTCAACAGGAACTCATGATCCCCTTTAGAGAACTAGAGAAGTGTATTTCAGAAATCATAAATTGTGATAAAGGAGTAAAACAATGCCTTTTCTCTCTTATCAATATTGAGCCAGTAGTTCAGGTCTTATATGTGAAATCTTATGTCCATTGACACAGTCACAACAGGTCTAAGTTGGAAAGCAGAATCTTGACACTTTAGAACTGAAATAGATCTGTTTTGAGCACACTGGCTAGAAATCTTACTTTAAATGATGAAGCTTTGGGAGACTATGGGAGGCCATGAACCAGGGCTTTTCAAAAACCTGAAGCATTAGAGACAGTTAAAAGCTTCTATTAAATTAACTTCTATTAAAGTAACCAGTTATTAATATCAGTAGCCATATAGCAAGCAAGGTATTAGATTATCCCCAGCTATTTATATATTTTTAAGCCCTGCTTTACATTTAATGTATGCAAAGTTTAGTGAGGAATTTAATGCTCTATAACTATGCTCTTCAAGTCCTAGTTTTCTTTACAAGGCATAATTCAGCCGTGTCCTATTCCTGGTCTCTGTTATCAGTGCCACGGTGATTGACCGCCCCTTGACTCATGCAGCCAGACCCCAGGTCTCCTATGCATCTGGTGCCAGGTGTCCAAATTAGAGGCCTGTGCTTAGGAAGGTATAATAACCCTCCTTACTAGCCTCAAGAGTTGTCATTTCCACCACAAACTTATATGAGGTGTCAAAATCATGCCATAGCCCTAGCCCATTTGGCTCAGTGGTTGAGTGTCGGTCCGCGGACTGAAGGGTCTCAGGTTCAATTCCAGTCAAGGGCATTCTGGTCAGTTGCAGTCTCCAGCCCAGTCGTGGGAGGCAACCAATCAATGTGTCTCTCTCACATCAGTGTTTTTCTCTGTCTCTACCTCTCTCTTCCACTCTCTCTAAAAATCAATGGAAAAATATCCTCAGGTGAGGATTAACAACATCAAAAATCATACCATAGGTGGTGACAGTTCAGCTGAGCTTACTGTGGTTCCCACTCAGAAATGCATATCGTTACAATTAATGGTTTTCATATAGGATATTCCTTTCTTTTAGATCCTCTACTTTTTAGTTCTATCAGGCATGGTGGAAGCCAGTATACCACCAAGTGTAATTGTGGATGTAAAACCTCAGACTAACGTTTAATTATAACATGGAAACTCCTAACTTCAGAGTACGCTTTCATTTGTGGCTTTCAGTTCCCAAGAGTTTCTGTAGCTCTGGCACATTCTTTATCTAAGTTCTTTTGAAAAAGTAGAACATCACATCTAAATTTGTTTCTTTTGCGTGTTTATTGGCGTGTCTGTGTATGGTAGTGATAATGCGCTTTCTCCACAGACCATGGACCTGCACTCTTGTCCGAAGCCGATTGTATTTGTGCTGCACACGTTCTTGTCGGCCAAAGTCACTCGCATGGGACTGCTTGTATGAGCAGCAAGAATCAGAAAAGAGCCTTGAATGTCATAAGAAGTATTTTCACCTCAAAAAAAAAAAATAGCACAAAAAGAAATCTCTTTGCTCTCCTCCAGCACAGTGCCTTGACAAGGACCTGCGAATCACTGCTGAACCCCAACCACGTTTAAAGAGGAGCCTGCCTTTCACAAGCTACCGTGGCCAGAATTTCTAGGCTCTAATAAGCTCCAAAATGAAGCTGTTGACTTATTGTTAGTTTCCTAATGTGGTTTCTAAGTAATTGGGTTTAATTCTCCTGTTAAGAAGGTGGCTCGTTGTTTTTCTTTATGGACATAGTAAAATACCCAAGAAGTGGGGGTTTTTCTTCTTCCTGTAGGATTTATTTCAGACTAAGCTTTGATCTCTTGCTTAGGAAGACTGTCTCTTCCCAGGTGCTAGTTTCCAGCAGCCCCTGCTTCTTGGTCATTCCAGATACGTTGTACGTTGTGATGGAGTTTACTGTGCACACTTGCTCCTCCCGCCCTAGGAAGTCCTCGAGTTGTATCACCAAAGCGCTCTTCCATATGTCCTGGCTCTCGCTACGTCCCCCCACCCCCGCCATCCCTTCCCACTGCACCACCAGCTTTGCCACTTCTCAGTGCTAACGTTAGGACTTAGAACTTGCAGAATTTGATTTGCCTTGCCTTCCACTCCCTTTATGGTGGTGACCAAGTTGAAGAGCAAGTCAGAACCACTGCATTGAAAGAAAATACTTGTTTGAGTTTTCTGATTTTACCTTTGGTAGGAGCCAGGGGATGTGGTAAGATTTATTTTAAAAGAAAATCCTTATTTTATTTTTTCCATGACCTAATAATTGATATTTGCTTTAATGAAAAAATCCTCATGTTAGCCTAAGCCATTTTTTATTGCTTACCAAATGTGCCTTTGGTTGGGGTTCGTGGAGCTTTATTAGTCACTATTTGAATAACTGGATACACTGCCATCCCAGGGAGGTCATCTGTCCTGGTGTTAGAACAGCCTGCGGCAGCTCTCCTCAGTGCTGTCTTTTCTCGTGGGCAGAGATCGTTGAGAAAGATACATCCTGAAGAGCAAGCTTGTTTCAAGAGGAGAATTTGTGGGTGAAGCCAGCTTTGCAGCACAAACAAATTGTCGAGTTGCTTTAGGCTCTGTTCCCCCATGTAGGACCCTGGCCCCAGCCCTCTCCCCTTGCGGCAGCAGAGTGGTGTGGACAAGCAGCTGCTAACTCAAGACTCAGTGTGGCTTAGTAACCCATCCTACAGTGAGCGAGTGAGGAGACCATGGACGGAGGCCTGGGTTTTGCTAAGCACTGCCAGATGTCATCATTAGGACACATTACAGTAAGATTGCTGATTCTGTGGTACTGGAGAATACACTCAGTTGTTATTTATAATCATGAAGGAGGTGCATATCTGAAACCATTTAAAATAGTGTAATAGCTGTATAAGATGTCAATATCAGCACAGTCCCTGGAACTGAAAGAGAAGGTAATAGTGAGTTGGCTGTTCTCCGTGTTCTCTGAAGAAAGGTCTGGGGTTAGTTCTCATTTACTGTGTTTATCGGGATTGCCTAGAGGATGTGAGCACTACAGAGGGTGGAGGAGGGAAGCACAGCGGTGTGTGCAGCACACAGCTATTTGGTGTGAGTGCGGACTGACACAGGTGGGATGTGAAAGAACCGATCGAGCTGGAAGTCCTAGTTAGACATTGTGAGCCCATTGTCTTCACTCCTTCCCCGTGTTCAGTGAGATTAACCACTTCAGTGAGATTAACCACAGGCAGAGTCTGGGGAGAGATATCTGTTCTTCCTCACCACCGGTCCCAAAAATGAAATTGAAATCTAGACTAGGCTGTGTCTTTCAAGAGCTTTTTATGTTTTGAAAATTCACAAGCCCAAGTTTGGTTCCATCTGGAGTAAGTTGACAAGTTAGGGAAGAAAAAAAAATACCTTGAAGGTCCAGCTGTGATTTCTGGAAGAAGAATTTGAATACATAACCCTTAGATAGGGAAGCTTAGACATTCTTTGCAGTGAACGTATTTATCTGAGAAGATGAACGATGTAATCACAGACTTCTGCAGCAAAGCCATTTGGTTGAGGTTTTCTGTTAGTGTGAAAGGCTAAGCCACTGAAAAGATTTTCAGGGGGAACTTCTGAGCCACCTGCTCAATGGTTATATGAAAAGATCTGTAAAAAAGGTGTAATTAAAACGTGGGAAGGAGAGGTAAGGCGGGTGTGCACTTCAACCCCTTTGTTCAAGCTTAAACTGCCATGGATAGCCCCAAGGTCCACAGGGTTTTTACTATTTAATAGGGTTTTGAGTCTTGAGGAGGAGTGAAATTGATGGGAGGTTTCCTGTGATCACTTGCGCCCCCAAGAGCAAGAGCCCTTAAGCTGCTTGTTTAACAAACTTCAGCAGCTTTCCAACCATGGATGACCAGGTTGTTCTTCGATTAAGTGTGTTTGTGGGATTTTCAAACCACAAATGAAGTACTTTTTGTGAATGAGACAGCCTTGATAAATATGTGCATATTTTCGACTCACAGTTGGGAATATGAGGAGGGCTGACTCTATCCACTGCTCTACACTGTTTTATATAAGGGACTTGCGCATCCGTGGATTTGGGTGCTGGAACCAATCCCTAGTGAAAACCAAGGAACGAATGTAGTTAAGGTTTTAGGGAGCCAAAGTTAATTCGTGGATTTTCAACTGCCTGGGGAGTTGGCACCCCTAATCCCCACGTTCTTCAAAGATCAATTTGTACTTTATATTTAGATGCCAAAATATGGCAAATTATTTTCAAATGATAGCTAAAAATAGGCATTTTTCATATTTCACATCTTTTACAGAACAGCTAATTTTTCATTTCTTTTTTATTCTGAATTAGGAAAATTATTGAGAATGTTGTGGGCTTCCATGTGTAGAATGTAAAGGAATTGCAGAGTATTGTCCCCCTCATTCTGATGGGACCACTTTCAGTGCCCCCCAGGACCTGGGCCTAGACATCTTCTCCATATTCCACACAGATGCCTATCAAAGAAAAGGCTCAGTTATTATTTTTCTGAAAAAGGTAAGTCCTTTTCTGAAGTCATCAAATGAACCTTACCTGGAAATTAGTATCTAATATTTTATATGAAGAAATACTTTAATGTATGTTTATACAGTATTTATTAGATATTTGTAACTGTAAACTCACCTACCTAGTAGACAGAGTTTCAGGTTAAATATTGGGACATGTACAGGCAATCAAAATACTACTTTAAATGTCATTCACTTATTTTAAAGCTATGTTTTAACACTTTTTACGCTAGGTAAGTCTGACAGTGCCTGTTTTTATCATCTGTAATCTCACAAACTTTGTTATTGAAATTGCATGGCAGGAGAGATTGAATTATTTATTTCTTACATTTTTATACGTGGAAAAATCTCTCTAACCAACAAATGATTAAAGTTGTTACTGATTATTTGTCCTCTTATCCTCCTAAGCAGAATGATAACAAAGTTTTTTTTCAGCTGATTAAATGCACTTAGCTAATAAACCAAAATTTATTTTAAAAAAAGCTGTGTGGAATCTGGATAAGATTATGTTTCTTCCAGAAAAACAAATTAGTGCAAATGCTTTTGATGGACAAGTGTGACCACTTTTGAGAAAAGGTTATGATAGATTTTTTTGTTAATTTTCTGAGAACCTCCAGGTCTTCGTTTTTAATTTATATGCATGTAGATAATTTGTGTGTGTTTTCAAAAACATGGAAGAATCTCCATATTTTTTAATGCAAATTATCTTGTAAGCTGCTATGCAAATTGTATTAAAAGGCCTACCTACTAAAAAAGTTAAACATTTTTGAAGCTTCAGGGAAGACCTGTAGACTTAAGCACTTTCTCGCTTTTTTGTATCTTGTCTTGGATACGCTGAATTATGTTATTGTTTTCACTGGTTATAAGCTATTGATTGTACATAATATTTAAATCATCCAAATATCCAGCATACATTTCCATGTTGTTGCCATCCACTATCGACACCATGAGTGAAATGGCTGGTTGGAAAGCCAAAGTTCCTGCTTTTACAATCCTTAATGAAGAAGTAAAATGCCAGATCTCTTTGGTCTCAAAACATTGTTCTGGTCTGATCTGACTATCTGTGTAAGAAGAGAGACTTCTTTAAATTTGGGATGCTTAAACTTTTAAGTTGAATTTGACTATAGTCATACTTTACTTATATATTTTTGTCAAGTATGTTATGTGGCAGGTGATACTATATTCTACCTTGAGTTTGGAAATTTCTTTCAGTTAAATTTGAATTGTTATAATGGCCTCTGAAGATGAAGACAGAGGAATCTGCCATCTGCTGCCATTCTTTCTCTGTGTCTCGATTTTAATTGCTTGGAAATCTAGCATTATTTTGACTTTCTATATACTGTCTTTAAAAACCGACACAGCAGACTCCCCCCTCCCTTCCCCTTTTTAAGCTACATCTTCGTGCTGAGTATATAGACACTTGATAAATGTGTCATGTTAGTTCTAAAATAATTATGCTTTATATCAGGATTATGTTTTCTTGATCAATATAGCTATTCTCATGGTGAAATTTATTTTATACTAGTAATAGACTGCTTAAGTGGCTGATTTGAAAACCTTTCTCTAAAAAAACAAAATTATCTGGCAGATAATTGATATAAGTTCATCCTATGAAAAGATAAAATTTCAAGTTAAGGTAAAGTACAATAAGTAGGCATATAGAGCATATCTGTTTCCTTGTCTCTTTTGACACTAGCTAAACTGCCAACTGGAAGAATGATTGTTATATATCAACTAGAAAAATATTTTAACAAGATTTCTTCTATTGTTTCAAAACTGATAAACTTGAACTTCATCTCTTGCCATTTATTCTTCCTTTCCACTTCAGGTTCCTGAACCAAAGCATATTCTGGGTTTTTAAAGCAAATCTGCATTTGATATAATGCATAAATATGCCATTTGCAAATGATTGCTTGTTCTCCAATGAGCATTTGGTTATATTCAACAAAAAATCTATCATGTGAACTGTAATCTTTGAATTGCCCAAAATAGATTGATTGAAACTGAAAACCTATAATAGAGAAATTATCGATACTCTGTTATTCAGGGGTTGGACAGAAGTAGATTTACAGTTGTTCACAGAAGTAATACAATAATTAATAAATAATAATACAAGAATAGCCCTGGCCAGGTGGCTCAGTTGGTTGGAGTGTCATCCCATACACCAAAAGGTTGCAGGTTTGATTCCCCGTCAGGGCATGTATGGGAGGCAACCAACCGATCAATGTTTCTCTCACATTGATGTTTCTCTCTCTTTCTCTT